ACTTTTGAAAGTTTGTTAGAAAAAAATATGTCAGAACCCTTACAATTTGGCATCAGGAAACCCCATTTTTTACGGGCTTTCATTTGGTATAAAATTCATTAGGGTTGGTATTCAGAATTGTAGCGTTACCCCCCCTGGAATAATATTATTTCCAACCCTGTATATAGACCCTCTATTAGTATTGGATTTTGAAAACATTTTTTTCAGTACAATTTAGTACTTGGTGTGTTGGCATCTTGACTGAGTAAGCCAAGTTGTATATACCCTGAATTTTTTTTGGATGATTGTATGATGACTCATAGAGAAAATGCGAATTTTCCATAAAAGTGGATTTTCACTATAAAAAAAGTCGGTTTTTGAAACCTTGCCTGCGATTTCAGAATTTTAGTCTATTACAAGAAGGAAAATGTTATTACAGAAAAATGCGCCATCAAATTCTGCGTATACTGAGCGGATTAGAATTTTCATTTTGTTGAAGAAGTTTCGAAAAAAAATCGAATTTTCGCACATACTCTAAACTACAAAAAAGTGGAAAAAAGTATAAGCTCGTATTAGATTTTTTTTTCAAGTTAAGTATATCATTATTTGTCATATACTATTCGATAGAGATTTAAATTAGCTACAAAACTATATGTAAACTTATGAGAACTTATTCTGCCAGTGTACTTGAGTAAGGGAATACTTTAGAAATGTATATACTATTATGGATCTCTATGAGACATTGCACCTAAGCTACACTCACCGTTGTTAAATTGATCGCACCGATTTGGCTGATATTTTTACAGTAGATAGGCCTAGTAAGGTTAGAAAGAAACTGAAATTTTTAGCTCAAACGAATGAGCAATGCTGGGGATACAGAGCTCGAAAATGCTGGTACTCAGATAAAATTGGAATTTTTTGTAGTCGGCACTTTTAAGTAAGTTCTCATTCTCCAATGAACAATAGATGGGATCCCCGAGATTTTTTCACCATAGATACTATCGACTACGGGCTACCTTTTGATAGTAAAGAAAGTACCTCATCCATGGATAAATTTTGCTTGGTACCATTCATGATTCCCGGAAGCCATCCCCACGTATAAAACGCATGTTGATCAAACAGTGTAGTAGAACTGCTTGAAAATAGTCTCGTTTGAAAGAGTACATCAAAATACATCGGCCACCATAATCCGAAGTTTGACCGATTGAATTTTAGTATGCAAAAAATGTTCACCAATATTGTACTGTTTTATCGAAAATCTCCGTTTCGAACAAACTGGTTCTATCCGATATATTCATTCCCAGATCAAACATGTACGGGGGGAAACGGCAGCATTCCGTCAAATTTCGGCCAATTCTTGGAAGCGGTATTCAAAAATGAGATCCGGCCTCCGGATCCTTCTC